GACTGTTGGTGACCTGCTTGCTGTTTGCTGCCTGTGGCCGGATAGCTCCACGGAGGACCACCCCGCGGCTCTCAAGACTTGGTGGTCTGCCAGTGTACTAGCTGTCTCACGGAAGCGAGTTGCACTGACCCATTTGTACTGCTTTATAGATTAATTAACTGTTTATTTCTTATGTTATCTATCTATATAAATATATACAAAATTATTAGTGTCCTGGTTTTGTTTCTCTAGAGAACCCTAACATAATCATTTTATCTTTTAGTCCAATTCTACTTAGCCTCTCTCCCCCCTCTCATTTCTTTTTTATCATTTTGAAATTGATATATAACAGCTCTTCCAGCAATTCAGGTAAAATCTCTTGGAGTCACTTTGGAATTCCCTCTTCATATCTATGTCCCATCTGTAAACAAATGTTGTTAGGCACACCTTCAGAATTGATCCATAAGTATATCTCTGTTCCATATTTCACTGCTAAGCAAGCCTACATCATCTTTAGGGGAGGATTACAGCAATGACTGCGCAGTGGGCTAAGCATTGGGCTGTAACAGCAAGAGACTGTTTTATACATATTTAGTAATCTCTTACTAATATTGGACTTACACTCTGAAAAAAAACTGGCTGTTAAAACTACTGTTCATCAGATTCACTTGTCATTTTGTGATACTGTAGTGCCATGTGGGTGCTGTGATACTGGAAGTCACATTGCTGGTATTTCAAATAGCAGTAGGTTCTCTCACAGTGGACAGGCTTCATTAGTGTTTCTGGACTAAAGAATAAAGGGACAAGAACAATCTACTTCAGAAAAAACATTGATCCATGAAATCTTTATTAATACCACCAAAATCTTGTCTGATATGTTTCCAGAAGATGAGCCCTTCAGGGTAGAAAAAAATTTACTGGGGAAGAGTTGCCTCCTTAAAGTCGAGTTGACAGAGTAAGGGTTTAGGACTTTCATTTGCTGATATGGCATGGTTCAAAATGAGAATAGTTGCAAAAATTGATTAATAATTGGAAAGTGGAATGTACAAAGTATGAATCCTAGGAAACTCCACTACGAACTACACCTCCACATACGGTATAAAAATCATCATGAGAGACTAATAAATGATGTAAACATAAACACAAAAAGTACTGAAGTTGTCAAGGATTTCATTTTTGAATCCACAGCCAACAGTCGTGGAAGCAGCAGTCAAGAAATCAGACAATATCTTGCCTGGGGTAAATGTGCTGAAAAAGGCCTCTTCACAGTGTTCAAAGGCAAAAATGTCCCTTGGAGGACGGAGGTGCTCCTGCTGTAGGGCATGGTATTCTCAAACGCCTCAGAAGCATGTGAAAGCTGAACAATGAGCAAAGATGAAGAAAAATGGAAGCATTTGAATTACGGTGTTAGTGAAGATTATTGGATGTATTATTGAAATGTAATCAATTAATGTGACCCTTCCAGCCATAACTCCTTTTGTGGGGTGTGGTAGTTACATAATCTGGTATCAATTTGGGACTATAAAGAGTGAAGGGGTGGAGGTTAGCCTGTCAATCAGGTTGCAGCTTGATGACCTCATTTGAAGGCTTTACGGAGATAAATAGCTCACTGGAGACCAGAGACACACTCCCTGCTTGACATTCCTGTTGACAAACCACATGGAGCTGTGATGATGGCAGCCAGAGCCTTAGAGCTGGAAGAGCCACGTGGAGACCCATGCCAGCGCTGAGATGCTTGCACCACCACTGGATCCACAAGACTTTCCACCCAATGGGCTGTGATCTTCCTGCATTCATCATCATTGCATGTGTTGCACGAATGTGTTTTGTGTGAAGAGGACTTTATAGATTGGTATCGGACATATGGGCTAATATCAGATTTATGGACTTGATCTGGACTGGGCTGGGATGTTTTCTTAATATACAATTACTTTTTGATATAAAGCTCATTTTTATATACATATGAGTCTCCCTGGATTTGTTTCTCTAGTCTACCTGAACTAACACATGGAGTACTCTAATTCTGGACACTATACCTGTGGCTATAATCCCATTCTGGTATAGTAATGGACAAGATTAGAGCAGGATTAAGTCTCCAATTTAGTAGAGGGTGTGAACCAGCCACCACTCTTTATTTCTTTAATAGTATTTTTGGTCTGCTCAAAGACAAAACAACACCTCTATCAAAGCCATTCCTCTGTATAAAAGTGCCATCTAGGGCAGAGAGAAATCTCAGGACCATCAGTAGTGAAGCACCTTCGAGATCGCTGTCTGATATGGTAAAGACCTAAATCAGGGTGCCAGTGGTTATACATAGACACCATGGGGCAGAGCATGGGGGTTAGGCTCAAACCAGAGGCAGAGGCTGGGACAACATGAAACTAAACAGCATAGCAATGATGAGACTACAATACTGTGAAGCAGAGCAACAGGCTGCTCTCCTGGCCCACGGAAACAGAGGCCCAGCGACCACATGGCTGACAGGCTGAGGACTAGAGAGAGAATTGGCTGCTTGCTGAGGACTGTAGACCAATGACTATAGCCTCAATGTTTTATCATCTTGGCTTGTCATGACCTTTTGATATCCCTAATAAACGTCTCCTTGATTATGAGTTTCTGTATAACCACTGCGAAGAATTATCGAACCCAGCATAGAAGTAGAGGGCTATGGGAGGAACCGTGGTGTCAGAATAGGTTAAGAAAGGTGGAAGGCATGTCTCACTTCTGCCTCATGGCAATGGGAAAGGCAGAGGAAGTCAGGCACAGCCTTCTTCTGTGCTCTTTTCTACAACCATGGCTTGCTAGCAGAATGAATATATCTGTCTTTGAAGAAATACAAACATATGCTCCTTAGAATTGAAGAGGGTAAAGCTTCATATCCTGTACTTTGGACATGCTGTCAAGAAGCATCAGCCCTTGGCAAGAAACATGAAGCTTGGTAGAGAGCCGTCAAAATGGAGGCTCATCCTCAACGAGATGGATTCACACAGCGGCTGCAACAATGGGCGCATCTAGAGCAATGACGGTGAGCATGGCGCAGGGCTGGGCAATGACTCCTTTCGCTGCTTACTGGGTTGCTTGCGTCAGGACTGAGTTGACAGCACCGACCACCAGCAAGAAGGAGACCTCAGAAAGCTGGGTATATGTCTTAAAAACACAGATAAATTTGAAATAGGGTAAGCAGACGTTGTAGAAGTTACCTACTTTAAAATAACCCAAATTTGTCAGCATTAAAATTCCATTCTCAGGTGCTCCTTCTGGATTCTTTCAATTGTTCTCAAAATGAGACATTCTGTTCCACTTAGCAGTTCTCTTACGATTTTAATTTCCTTAGAAAACCATGCATGGTTACAGTTTTTAAATCAGCACTTCTTGAAATAAAATGTGATACATTTTACTTATGAATTGGTTTTTATTTTGTTTATCACTTGTGGGTAAGGATCGATGGGCCCATGAAGAAATCACTGTAGTTGGTTGTGTCTATTTTTTATAATATGGAATAAAAATGGAAAAATACATAACACCGGCAATACAAACACTAAGCAATATATTAGAAAAGTGGCTGGGAGTGGGGATCAGGGACAGCTATGTTGCTCTCATGATAGCTGTGTAAAAGTTTTTCATGTCTTCTAAAAATGGCATCATGTTATGACCTCCGCTCATTTCACAAGAGGAAGAGAGAATCACCACACACATCAACAGCCCACGGCTGACTCCTACGAGGGGAGATCAGGCATGCCTCCACCTTGTGTCATTTTTAACCAATTTTGACACTTATCATTCTACCCACAGCACTTTCGACTTCTGTTCTAGGTTTAGCAATTTGTTGCATTGGCCACTCAGAACTCATAGACAATACTTACCTTTATGAGGTTTATTAGGGAAGTTAAGTGCTACAAATCAAGGACAGAAACACACAGGATACAGTTCTTCAAATCAGGACAGCCTCTTCACAGCTGTCAGAAGGCAGGTTTCTGCACCAGCTTTGGCTTCTGGACCAACTTCTGCCCTGCTCAAGCAGGTAGTTAACAGTTATGTTAGCTTTGCTGATGAGCTTCCAGTGGCATCCCACTTCTGTCATAAGCTTGGGCTCCAAAGTATTCAGCTCCAGCTTTGAAAGCCAGCAAACCTAAGTTGCTGAGAGGTACTGCACGGTTGTCAGTAATTCTCCTTCCCCAAAGCATTCAGCCATTCAGCTTTCGTGCTCCATGGCTTCAAAGCTCACCACTCTGGTGCCATTCCCCTCTGCTGCTCAGCTGCTGGTGTTTCTAGAGTGAGTGCTCAGTGCAGGGATTCTATGTCCAAAGGATGTGCTTCATTCTTTCTTGGCAGTTGTGATATCCCCTTTTGCTTCTAGTATGGCTCATTTTAAATGTGGCAGGAGGTTAAAGATGACCAATCCCCATGTTAGGATCTCATATACCTTATTTGCAGGGTCCCACCTCCAAGGGTGCCATGCGAGTTACTTACTTATTAGGGAACTAGCTAATCCCCTTGGTGGATCACAAATCCTTACATTTGCATAGTCATACCCAGTCTTTTGGTGGGAGTTACAAAGCCTATATGGCTAGAAGAGCTATATTAAGCAATTCACAGCACTGTAGACACATGTATTATAATGGTATGATTTCAGAGCATAAATGTCTTATATCTAATGTTGAACTACATGTTCAACTTGTGTTGAGAAGACTGTCCACAGTGAGTGAGGAATAAGGAAGCAATATCCAAACTGCTTGGTTATAATACTGTGATTTTTCCTAAGTAAGGATTTTTGAGAACCGACCTTTAATGTATTAATAGCATCACTTGCATCATGGCATAAGGGAGAATATACCAAACTGAAAGAAAGAAGGCCGCCCTTTCAGTTTCAGTGATACAGGAAATTAATTCTTTGACCTTTGGCAATTGAGTTCCCCTTTCTGAGTGTTGGTTTCCTTGCTTGGGAAATGAGGGTATTGGAGTCAATCATTTCTAAAGTCTCTTATAGCACTATGATTGATATATGATGAATGACAAATTACCTGTTACTCGCAGAATAAGGGTCAAGAAAACTGTCCAATGAGATGAGACACTCACAGTTTGTCTGAAATATAAGCAAAGAAATTTGTCAAGGCAAAAAAACAATTCCTGAATTGTGAAACAGAGTCAAAAGGCTTGAGACACAGTGCTCCACTAGGGCTTCAATGCTAACATGTAAGGATCTAACAATAAAGAATATTGCGATTGGCTAGCTAATGTAAGTTCTTCTGATTGGGCTATAGTTAGTATATCCTTGAGGACACGTTCAGGAAGGTTCTTTGTGTAAGAAGAACATGGCCAGGCAAGTTCCCTAGTTCTTGGTAAGAAGGACGTACTCTGGCCAGTTCCTTGTACAAGCACTTCTCTGTACTAGTCACCACTTTCTAATATAATGAGACCCTGTAAATAACCCTGGTGTTCATATCACCCAGATGGCACACACAGGAAACTTACACAAGGGGGGCTTGCATGGCGAACTGTATCATGCATGTTTTGTTTGCATAAAAATATGATATCGTGATCTACTTTTCAAACACATTCTTCCTGAAAGCAAGCTGTCCCTCCCTTGTTGATTCATTAAGAGTCATAGATCAGCTTCTCAAAACCACAGGAGAACCTAGGACAAAAGGGAGCCTGAGTTAGATTTTGGGGAAATCATTTCAGCTATTCTAAGCACTGCAGCAAGAGTCCTGACTGCACAGTGGATTCAACCTACCAGATGCTTCATGAAAAGCTCAGTGAGACTGTCTGCTTGTGTAAGGATTTGCACTACCATGAACCCTATGGGGCAGCTTTATTCCATCCTATATGGTCTCTGAGTAGCAACTGACCGAATTGGCAGTGCATTGGCACCCTAGATTTTGGAGCACCCATACACAAAACTCATCCATCAACAGACAAGCCTACAACCCACCAGCAGACAAACTTACAAAAAATAATGCCCTGGAGACACAGTGTGGGAATTGTGTGCAGTCTGACCCTCCCCTCTCCCAATCTGGAAAAACACAAATGGAGCTCAACAGCAGCAAGGGGCGCAAAGCAACGAAGTCCCCGAAGAATCCTGAAAATAGACTTCTGACTATTGGGGGGCAGGGGTTGGCCCCTTATCAGACCCAATCAGAAAACATTCATAAGGATCAGAAGACAGACCTGCAGCTATTTATAGGCTCCCCACACACACACTCCGTGTCTACTTATATAAGATAGTCAAGATTATTTACAATCCCAAGAAGAAAACAACAGGACTGAAGGTTCTGGGGGATATGGGAGAGTAGGAGGTGGTGGAAAGGGAGGGGGGATCCAACAAACCCAGAGAGAAGGGAACAACCAGAAATCTAAAATCGGAGGAAAGGAGGGCTTTGGATGCATGGTGGGGTTTGACCAAGTGCAATGTAGCTGAGGGGAATTAGCCAAATGAAGATTGAACATGATAGTGGAACAGGAGGAAAGTAAAAAGAAATAGAGGAAAATAGAAATAGGAGGCAAAAGACATTTATAGAGATATAAATATAAGCATGTTTTTATGTAAATATATTAATGATCGGGATATAGGTTTATGTACACATATATGTACATGCTAAATATCAAGATAGCAGACAGACATTGGGCCTCCCTTTTTTCTTCTTTTTTTCATGAATATCTATATAAGATAGGCAAGATAAACAATCCTGAGGAGAAAACAACAGGACTGACAGTTCCCAGGGGGCCGGAGATAGGAGAAGGTGGGGGAAAGGGAGCGGGGAGCCAGCAAACCCAGGCACAAAGGGCAAGGGACCAGACATTAGACCTCTACTCAAGTCCTCTGTCAACTCAAAAACACTTTGTTCTAATAACCTGGCATTCTGTGATGCTCACCTTCCAGATACAATTGCTGAAGTCAAATTGGGTGTGTAAGCAAATGTGGTAAAGCAAAGCTGATGGTGACTATCTATTAAAAGATATAGTGTCTGAGGTTTTAAAGGATTGAAGTCAAACAAGCAGCCATCCCTCAGAGAAGCAACAAAATTCATATGGAAGAAGCACATCAGCCTGTGTGTTCATGAGGTGTCAACAAGATCAGATATCAGGCATCATAAGACCTGAAACAAACAATCATATCGTTGTGAATGAGAGGGATCAGAGTGGAGACCCAAAGCCCATCTGTAGACAATTGGACATCCCCTCACAGAAGAGTCACAAGGAAGGGACAACCCAGCCAGGGTGCAGTATAGCACTGACAAAGCACACAACATTCCTCTAGTTCTATAATGCTTCCCCCACAATCATGACTCCAGTAGTTCTACCTTACAAGTCCAGCTACACTGGTACAGATAAGAGCTCTGGACACACAGAATCCAGGACAGATAAACCCCTCAGGAACAGTAATTGGAGTAGTGATCCTGTGAGGGTAGGGGGAAGGTGGAGGGAGAAGGGGAAGAAAGGGGGAACTGACCACAATGATCTTAGTACAACACCCCCACCCCAGGGAGATGAACAACAGAAACATGGGTGAAGGAAGTCAGTGGATGGTGTAAGATATGAGAGTATTAATAATATATAATTTATCAGGGGGTTAAAGGGTGGGAAGGCAGGGGAGGGAGGGAAAAAAAGAGAAGCTGACACCACGGGCTCAAGTAGAAAGAAAATGTCTTGAAATGATGGCAACATATGTACAAATGTGCTTGATACAATTGATGTACAGCTTGTTATAAGAGCTATAAGAGCCCCCCAATATAACGATTCATAAAAAGAAAAGAACTGAAAATAAAAAAGAAAGATCAATTTCTGATTGTTAAAGCAAAAAACATCATGATGCCATTATAATGATAATGAAGACCACAGATGGTAAATGTTCATTTGAATTTCAAATAGGTATAGCTTTTTAAATGCAGCGAAATAATTCAGCGACATTTGCCTGGTAGGAAAAGTACACATAACTGTCTTCCTCTTATTCAAGTAGGCCCAGCAGGATACTCTGCAAATATCAGTTGGAATTTCCACTGATTGATACTAAAAACAGAAGAACTTTACTGATGCCATGAAAATATGGTAATTTTACAATAGCATGGCCTGGTGGCACAAGGTTAAACTCTAGGCTGCTAATAGGGCTGACCATTCCAACTGCACTGCAGAAGAAAGACCTGGCGATCTCACCGGTCAGGCTTGGTCATTATTGCTTTGTGCTGCAGAGTTGATTTTGAGTGATAAAGATGATTTAGGACAGAGTAGAACTGCCTCCTAAGGCTACAATCTTTAAGGAAGCAGATTCCCACAACTGTCCCATAGAGCCTGGTAGATCAGAACAGTCTTTCAGTTAGCCAATTAAGGGCTTTGTGCTTAGCCACTGTGCCTCCAGGAGTCCTGATATAAAGATTTACAGTCTAGGAGAGCCTGTAGGGCAGTTGTTCTCTGTCCATTTGTGGTTGCTCAAACCTGGTCCTTCATTATTAAGAAAACCCTATGGAGAGTTCTATTCTGGCATGCGTGGGATTTCCATGTACTGGAATTAACACAAAAGCAACGACTGTTTCATTTTTACCGAACACTGATGAAGGGTTTGGGGTTTATTGTGCTGTTTAATTTCAAGGTCACCAAACATTAAGATTGAGCAATTAGCTGAGACCAAACTATTGATGGAGTACTGAGATTCAATTTCTGGAATGCCACCAATTTCATCAGTGGCCCTAAAATAGGCACACCTTTCAATCAGGAAAGGTGTGCTTCAGGTTTTTATCCTCCCACCATACTTGTTCCATCTGTATGCTGGGCAAATCATCAGAGAAGCTGGATTTCATGAGTAATGAAGCACTGGGATAGGAGGAAGGCTTATTCACAACCTACAACATGCAGATGACACAACCTTGCTTGCTCAGAATGAAGACTTGAAGCACTTGCTGCAGTATGGATTACAACTCAATGTAAAGTCGATGGAAATCATCACAACTGGTCAAGTGGGTAACATCATGATACATGGAGACAAGATGGAAGTTGCCAAGGTTTTTGTCTTACTTTAATCCACAACCAATGCTCATGAAAGCAGCAGTCAACAGATAAAACAATACACTGCTTAAAGTAAACCTGCTGCACAAGACCTCTTACAGACTATAGAAAAGTAAGAATGTTACTTGGAGGACGAAGGTGTGTCTGACACCAACCATAGTCTTTTCAATAGCCTCATATGGATGTGAAAGTTGGGCATAGAATACGAAGATGGAAGGAATATCAAAGCATAGTGATGGTGTTAGTGAAGAATATTGAAAGTACCATGAACTGTGAAAAAACACAACAAATCTCTTAGAAGTATAAATGTCTAAGAATGCTTCTTAGAGGTAAGGATGGAGAGAGTTCTTCTCACATACTTTGGATGTTATCAGGAGACTAGTCCCTGGAGAAGGACTTCATGCCTGGCAAAGTAGAGGGGCAGCGGAAATGAGAAAGGGCCTCAACATGATGGAATGGCACAGTGGTTGCAACAATGGGCTCAAACAGAACAATTGTGAGGCCTGAGCAGGACTGGGCAGTGTTTTGTTCTGTTGCTGAGTCAGAACTAACTCAATGGCACCTACGAGCAACATTTCAGTCCTGGTTTATGGGTCCTTTTCTCATGTGTTGTTCTGTGCTGTCAAGATGGTTTCCACTCCTGGTGACCCTATGTCCAACAGTATGCAATACTGACCGATCCTTCACCACCCTCACAATTGTATGTTCACACCCATTGTTGTAGGCACGGTGGCAATCCACCTACTTGAGAGTCTTCATTTTTTTCACTGCCCTTCTATTTCCCAAAGAATAATGTCTTTTTCCTGAGATTAGTTCTCATGATAACCAGTTCAATGTTCATGAGATTGTCTCCCCATTCTTGCTTCTAAGCACATTCTGGTTGTACTTCTTCCAAGACGGATTTGATTTTTTTTTTTTTTTAGCACTGCATGGCAATTTTAATACTCTCCCAGCACAATAATTCAAATACATCCTTTCTTCTTTGTTTTGCCTTATTCAATTTCTAACTTTGACGTGCATATAAAGGAATTGAAAATTCCATGGCTTGGGCCAGACAGAGCCTATGGCTCAAAGTAAAATTCTTGATTT